GGATGCAGTGGTTGAGTTTGTACTTTTGTCATCCTGAACTATACTCGTATGTGGTGATTCAAAAAACAATGACAATATTTGTAGGTCAAGAATTAGGTCCAAAGATCACATGACAACTTGGTATGAATATGCAATACTTCCTTATCGAGATACAGGGTTCAAAGTTTTAATTCCAAAATCATAAAAGAATGTTCCGAAGTGAAAAAAGGTACCAGTTTAAACTTTTGTACATGCATTACTGTCAGCATAAGCAATACAAACAAAACCTTTTGCGGTTCTTTTGGCGTAAATACTGGGACTTTGTCACTTGCAAAATAGATATTTTCTACGCCGCTGAATTTTCTGTTGCAATTTTAGGAGCAGGAGTATGAATAATCTCAACTCACTACATACTTGAAGAATTTTCATGTTCTGTCAAAGTTGACAAAAGTTGGCAACGCTTTTGGATCAATCAAGGGGCAAAGCTAAATCAGGGTTTTCGGAAGTGAAGATCGACCGATTAAAGTGACAAAAAAATATCGCACGTGGATAACTCGACAGATTTTTGTTCTTGTTGTTCATCTTATATCGAAATGATTACAGCCTGAAAGTAATTGTGTGATCCTCTTGACAATGACGCAATGGATTGCTGGTTTAATGATTAGTTTTTGCATACAGTGAAGACTATTTAATGCAATGTGAATTATTTGGACAAGTCATAAGTCTTTCTTTACAAGACGTATGTCGTGGACAGATATTTGCCCATCTAAGGAGCTCAAAATTGTAACAAAATGGCAGTGCCCTGTGTACAAGTCTCAACGCCACACCACCCAGAGTAAATCTAAATAGCAAGCCAAGTATTTTTATATATTAAATATGCAACTTTGTATAGAATATCTAATCCTAATTGAAACAGTGGATAAGCCGACGCCGTCCAAACTATGTTTTATATCAGTGTTATACTTTTCTTTTGATATTTGGGTCAATTGGAAGAACAGCTTCATGAGCTAAACTTTACCCTTTTATAATTTGATCATTATAAATTAAATGATTATTACTATTATTATTATTATTATTATTATTATTATTATTATTATTATTATTATTATAAATACTGGTCCAGGCGAGGTGATCAATCGAAATATTCGTTTTCGTTGTTTCAATAGAATTACTATAGTTCCGATAGAATTAGTTCACTTTTGACGCCTCTGGTTTTCTCGCTGTTTCGATCAGAACTAGATTTACTATAAGTGCCAGATGGAAGATTTTCACCCGGTATTAGGGTATCTACACATTCTGATTAGTTGACCTAAATAGCTTTCGGAATCATTACGAGATACGAATACGAATGTATTTATGGCCTCAAACCTTTCAATGGGTAACAGTTGCAAGATCTTTCTTGAAACCTCTACTCTATTTCAAAGTTAGGGGTAGCGATCGATGGTGCAAAACAGCCACATGGTACGGCATAAAGAAAACAGAGCAGTCAGCAATGTACAAACAGTAAATGTTGATTAATGGATGTATTCTGTCGAACTGACTAAACTGATAGCTATGATCTGTTCGTATTTTGTAAATTCTGAAACTTCCTACTTCAAACGAAAGTCCGCCGTTTTTGATCGAAATGATAAGTCAACACATGGTTGGCCGGTCACGCGGTATTCATGTGTTTTCGAGTTGTGACGTTTGATGATTGGTCAGTCTAGCAAAAAATGGCGTACCTTCGATCGAAGTTAAAAGTCTCGGTCTTGCAGAATATGAATCTATAATCGAATCACTTCTCCCTGTTTGACCAGTCCGTAAGAATACAGCATATGTCAGGGTAAACAAAATGATAAAGAAGTATCGTAAAGAGCCAGTCGATAATGACGTATGATAGTGTGAATACATTTTTATTATATTTTAGGTATTTTATTTTCTTTACTTGAAGTATTTATGCTATTGTTACCGGCCATACATAAGATAAAAATTAATATTATTATATTACATGTACAAGGAGGAATAGCAGTTCGTGGATAGCGCATAGTACTCGTATATGGTCGACTGTAGCGAGCCAGCGAGCCTCGGTAGTTAATTCCGGGATGTTGTGCTGTCTATATCACGCACGTGCAATATGGTATTAACAGGTACATCTCATCCCTGCAGCTGGTTTACTATATCACTTACTAGTAGATGACCCGTGGTGTAGTACAGTGTCGGTACTATGAGGTCGGCAAAAAGGGTCAAAGGTAGCCTAGTTGCCAGGCTTCGCCTCCGCAACCACTACTACTACTACTACTAATACCATTACTATAAGGTTGACAATAATAACGATGATGTAACTTCAACAAGCAATGGCAATATTTCAAAAACTAGCATGAAAGTTCGTATTACCACAGGACATATGTCGCATTATCGATAAAGAGTGTGTTGTAGGTGAGAAAATAGACTTACGTGCAGAAAAATCGACGCCACCCTTTTGATTTTGTTTAGAACATGACTATTCAAACAAGTAGGTATATTCAAATAAATACAATACGTTCAACTGAAAGAAATGAATTTGTAATTGTGCTATCAAGACGAATCTGAAGACAAATCGTATCTTAAGATCCAACAAGTCGTTTAAGTCGTGGCCCGTGAAATAGGCATTCCAATCTTAAATTTTTGATTTAAAATCCGTAATTTAATGTAAAGTTTTAATACAATCATTATCACTTGCACTAGTAATTCTAATTCATTTTGTTATTATAAAATTTTATAGTCTCTCTACCACAGTCAAGGCAAGTCCAACGGCATCTCATATGTCAAAATTCCGTAAGCCGTTTGGACTGTAGCCCATGAAATATACTTTTTTGAATTTATACATAGATTATCACATTATTTCCACATGCCTTCCACTTTGATAGAGATCACGGTGTCAAGATCGACTTGACTTTTCAGAGATCCTCATTTTACTCATTTTCGATAACGTAAGCTGACTCTGAAGTGTCGTTACAGTTGATAAAATTATTGTTTACGCTGAAATCGGTGATCCCTGCTGGTTTTGATCAGTAAAGTTTAAGTGTAATTACTCGCTGTGAAAATGGATACCACTCCATTTGAAGTCGCTCAAGTAGTCGCACTGATCCAGACTGATCCGAATATTTCTAAAGATTGGAAGCTTCAATGGGCGGACAAGTTCGGGAAGGGATAGGGCTACATAAGAGCGAGATAACCGCTTTAAGGCATGTTAGCGTCTTTACCAAATCTACATATAACGGCAATTTACTATACGATGAATACTTACAGCTAGAGGATAATATCCGCACCAACCTGGTAAAACTATAATTACTGAACCCTATGTGGAAATGTTGGGAAGGTGACTCTATATCCTTATAGACTTAACACATCTTTTCACTTTCTTCCCTTTCTTCTTGACCTCTTCCACTAATCCCTCTTATTATTTAACATCTGACTGGCCATACCTCACCGAGAGTCAGAACTTTTCCCAAGATAGTAGTAGTTACTAGTAGTGGTAGTGGGCGGCGAAGCCTGGCATTTAAGCCACGTTTGACCTTTTTTGCCGACTCCGTAGTACCAACACTGTACTACTACGAGCCGTCTACTGGTACCTGATATAATAAACCAGCTCCAGCGATGAGATACGGATATTAATATTGCGCCCACGTGTCTGATAAAGACAACACACACAACATCCATGGCAAGGAATTAACTTTCCGAGATTCGAACCGGCGAGCCCCAGGTTGCTAGCTCTACGCCCTGGCCACCGGGCTACCGAGGCTATCTTGCCCAAGAGAAAATGTCCTATCAATCGTTTCAGCAGACAATTGGCAAACTCCAGATACATTTAGCTCAGTTTCATCCCATCTCTGGTACAACCGCATATCATCTATGTTAATGTATTCGTATCTACAAAATTATGTTGCTATTTCCGGTAAGATCTAGATAAATTTGGTAACAGCACTATTCCATTTTGTAATTACGACATTGTGCCTATCAGCACCTAGCCCTGTTATTATAAAAAAGAAGCTAACCGAATCAGCCGTTATTAAATGTGATAATACATCAGAAGGTGTTCCCAATAGCAAAGATTATAGACTAGGAATCCTTAAGCCACTGGCAGAGAAGCCTCTTGAGTTTTGACTTCTTAAGCAGTGTCGGCAACCGTCATAGAAGTCAAACCTTTTTTGCTACAGTAACGACAAGGCGTAATTTGTTCTGCACTGTTTTCTATTATGCAAAAGCACACGACGGTAATATGGACCAATCGAGTGAAATTGTTGCTTTTTAACTACCTCGTCGATCAGGGAACCGACGTAGGAGCAAGCAGATTCGACCTATAAATGTCTTTACTACTAGTATTCGGTATACCTGTATCTGTATACTTTGAGGGAACCGTGACCCCAGATGTGAAGACTCGTTGACTAAAAGGTTCACTCCAACAGAACGCTCCATGAAATTTTGAACTGAGCACTGAATGTTTTAGAACCTTTACCAGATTTATATAATTGAATCACGACACAGGCCTGACGCCTAAATACCTGTGGGTACCGTGGTGCTATAAAAAGATATTGAGGAAAAGAGAATGGACGCCATACGGACTAATAGGGAACATGTGCGCATGTAACATGCACACATTCTAGTCCCACTTCAAAGATTCACCGGATGGCACCTCCACGCTCGAGGGTCTGAGACCGTTTACCACCTACGCATGAGAATTTACCTAGCTTCGAAGTACTAGTAAGACCTACAAACAAGGAAACAAGTACTGTATACCGAAAAGTCACAGTCTAGTGCCGAATAAAAGTTTTTCATAAAATTCAGAAACCATTGAGACAGCTGAAAATCAATTCAGGATGCTGTTTCGTCATTGTTGTAAATTCTTGCTGAAAGCTTGTATAAGCTCAATAAGGTTCGGAATCGGCGTATGCTAAGGCTGGAAAATTCTTAGAATGACCTTTGACTGGTGTTTCTTTAGTCTTATCGGACGATATGAATAAGCTGGTTAACATCAATAACACTGGTCAACAAATTTCAACTACTTGTCTGTATCCTGAATGGCAATTGATTATAATTGCTTAAGTTGCACCTTAAAGGGACATTGTACCATGTAGGAATACCAGGCTTAAAATCCACAAACCTCTAAAAAAATAGATATTATGACTTATCTTTCAATTGGTTACACAATGCGAATACCCAAATATTTATAATAAATTAATATCAATTAGGGTAGTAAGATGAATGGCAACGCAACATGTGGTCATCAAGTGCAGTTTTATAAACAAACACACTCACACGAGAAAGTACCGTAACAAATGAATTCTATGGTCGACTACATGCTCCTCTATTTGGAGCCTCAGGTTCAGTTTTATCCACGACCTGATAAATGTACTTTCGGGAGAAAAATTCCACTTTTCAGCCCACGTGAGTTATGCTAACTTTTCCGACCGCTATGGATACACACCACTACAGTCAATTTATTTCTATTTTAATTTCTAGTTAAAAGCAATTCCGTATATTATCACCCTCCTAAAAGCCTAGTTACATCAATAACTAGTATTATTGACGATAAGTCATTTTAGGCTTATTCACCTGACAAACAAAAAACTACGGTTGATCCTGTATTCGATTTTTTCAGTATTTCGCGTGGTTAAAATGCGGTAATGTAAATGACCTTTTGGTTACGTCCTGGAGTCCTGGACTAAGGCTAAAAAGGCACGTAATACAAAGTATATTTTTCCTGATTTCCGATTACTGACCCTATAACATAATTATGATAATCGAAGGCACTTTACGTCGACATTACGCTAAAAAATATAGGGTACGTCGAGGAAAATGACCTAAAAAGTCACGACATGGCACTGCGACGGTGTTCGAGGCCAGATTTTACATTGTGAAGAGAAGAACTGTTGATTTCTTCTTATTTTCTTGCTGCCCCAGAGTAACAGGTAAACCGATTAAAAGTGACTTAGGTATACCTCTGCACATAAACAGATTCGAATATTTGACTAAGTTAAGGGGAGGTATCACTCACCACAGATATAGACAAAGTCGAGAAGTGGAAGGTGAAAAATCGGCATTAATTGCTTTGGTGCCTTATAAGGAGGCGACGTCAGGATCGGAATACAGGATTTGCCCCAAACGTCCCTGTGAGTATGACTTAGCATCTCGTTTCAAGCCTCAACAGCATTTTATCCAATGCGCTTTTTAGTTCATTAGAAATTTTCCATAAAGGATGAAGAATATCAGTGTGAGTTTGATAAGTTTAAAGGTACCGATTTTTCGATGTTCTGATGTGAAGTATGTTTCAATGTGTTCTGGTCTCATTCTCTCTGCATCTTTCTTATTCCCTAATTTTACATTGTTTGTGTTTTGTTGAAATGCTTAATTTCTAATGCAAGTTATAAGAATGATATACCCGGCTTTTTGAAAGTTGTAAATTTTACGAATCACATATTATACAGTTATATAAGTTCTTGACATAGTAATTTACGCCTAAAAATATCCAACAAGTTTGACTCAAAACACACAAACTGTGCCGTTTCGGAGATATCAGTAACACTCAATTCATGGGGAAACACAGAATGTAGCTCAACATCATCAGAATGTGACGCTATTTGAATTTGGTTTCTTTATAAAGTACCTTTCCCCATAATTTTAAACTTTAAATAGCATACATAGCATGACTGACAATACATCGCCTGTGCAACAGAAGTTCCGTCTCAATCCCTTTTGTTGAGAAAAATGTCTATATAACTATGTATGTTATTGTTAGTACATTCTATAAATCGACATCATTTCAATGCTCATCTGATCTCACTAATGTGGTGAAAGATGAATGCTATTTTTTAAATATAGTTAGATTTATTTTCCGTCTTCTAAATGAAAAATGGTTAAGAACTGTGCGTAGTGTCCTAATTTGTTTTAAAATTTTTTTGATAGTGACCATTAGAAGCGGCATGAATAGAAAGTGGCAAACCAAACATCGCCAAAGATTATTGAAAATATCCAGTACAACTAACAGTAACTTTTGAAATGTAGCCAAAGCGCTATTGCTAAACAAAATTCGGTTGATGTAGGATCCACATTATACTAATGCCATTTCTGATATTATATATCACGTATCTCTTGTTTTAGATCATCTTGTTGATGCTCGATAACACTCCTTGCAAATGACATTACAGCCATTGCCTCGCACTATAACATGCGATATGTTAATAGCAGTGTACAGGTTCTTGCATTTATTATGAGACCTATCTACGAAATGATCTGCACAGATAGAAACGCGGTCTGTGTAATTTTCTTATATACTGGATCATATAAATGCTCGCTGAGCAACAAACACAATAGAGTAAATAACATAATTCTGTACGTTTAAACTGTTAAATAACTGAAACGGGAGAATGCTAAGGTGCCAGAGCTGTAATTAAAAAAATTGTATCAGCGACACCGTTAGCCGATTCTGTCGAGGAAATTGGTTTGCTCATGAAAATTTGCTTGTTATAATTGTCAGTTGAGCCTATAATTTTTCTCGCACCTTTCCTGTTGAATATGTATTAATATTCACCCAAGCTGCTAGGGGTAGCTTTATGGTGTGAAAAAAGCTACATAGCAGCACGTTTGTATGGAGCAATTAGTAGTGATGATATAAGAAGGTTTTCAACAGGTTGATGATGAAGATTATTGGTTAAGACTTCCGACTGGAACCCACAATAATGACGCTTTCGTGCAAAACACATTCATATTATATTCCCACTTAATAATCATATGCATCGATTCATCCGACAAAAATTTGATAGGGAAGTCTGGAGTTGGTTGGATGTCAGAGTATACATATCAAGAAGCCATCACAGATGCAACTCTTCCGCAAGTTCGTACCTTGATATTATGGTAAATTCTTTGTTAGGCACACACTAAAAGGCACCTAGTTTATGAATTTATGAGACGCCCATAAAACATATTTTGATCGGACACTTTTCATACCGACAGGGCCGGCAAGTATAATCAAGTATCAGTTTAAACTAGAATTTCGTAACACTGCTGGTCTCTGGGACAACACTATTGTCTAATCATATTAGCAAATTTCCCCGAAATCATTGTAGAGTCTGGTATTACTGGTGCAAGTTGTTCAACGGGGTATTTAAAACATGGACGCATAAAATGGATGCACCGATTTTTGTGGGAAAACTTTTTATTTGACAACAAAGATTGAGAAAACGTGCTTTTTGGGATTGAAGGATTGGGATTGAATCGAAAGTGTTGACAGGAACGAAAAAACCTATCAAATAAGATTTTTAGGTATTTATGAGATCTACAACATGAGACCATACGTGAAAAGATCCGACTAGTAGCAAGGATGTTATAGACGAAAAAAGAAAAGGCAAAAAGCAGATTTTGGCACTTGTTGGTTATGCGACGATAATTTCACGCAACTATTGAAATTCTGCAAATTCGTAGGATTCATTCTTTTAAATAATAACAACAAAATTAGATTACATTGGTCAAGTATTTTTTTGAGAATTTCTAATTGTTTATCCCAAAACACCTGTTTTCCGGCCATCACTACTAGTTTATTGAGCAATATACAGGGTTCGTTCAAAGAGCATTCAATAGAAAAATACACGTGTTCACCTTGCCGATATGAATCCCAAATCATTCCGGAAGATACAATTTTGTTGTGGTTATTTAGAAGTACGAATCCTACGAGTTTAAAGAGTTTCAAATATCTGCGAGAAACCATCGTCGCATTACCAAGTGCCGAAACCTGCAGCTTTCCTCGGTTTTCGGCCATAACTTTTTTGCTATTAATCGGATCCTTTTACGTGTGATCTCATTTTTTAGGTTTCATAAATAACTAAGAATCTTATATGAAGAGTTTTTTTTGTTCCTGCCAACGTTTTCCCATTCTTTGTTTTCGAATAAAACGTTTTCCCACAAAAATTGGTATACCCATTTTATGCGTCCATGTTTTGATAATCCCGTTGAACAGCTTACAGCAATAAAACAAGACTACAATTATTTTGCAAACCAGGGGTATTTTCGTCTAATATTATTAGACTAGCATTTGACAATGACAAATTCGTTTTGGATCCTTTCCCTCATTTATTTAACATTTTGTGGACACTTTTATATAGTTTGAGTGAATTAGAAGTTGTATTGATATCTCATTCCCAAAATGTCTCCATTTTGATGCATTTTGTAGCTAGCAACAATTTCCTTAATGAACGTGCGTTCCATCTCTACCGCCGTATCCAACCGTATGCAACGTTGTTTCAAGTCTTTTAGTACAATATGATTCTAGTCATTTGGAGATGGATGACGGAAAACAAAGAACCGAATACAGGCTTATTGAAAAACCACCAGTAGTGCCCCTACGAGCGGCAGCAGGAAACCACGGTTTCTCATCAACTTTGAAGGATAGTTTGTGCTTCTAAGAAGCCAAATAAGGACTTCCACCACATATGCGTCCCATCGCCACTCACAGGAGTATTAAAAAGTCATGACGCATTATGCTGCTCAGCTTGAGTTTCGTTTATGCAACTTTTGCATAGAACGTCAATGCTGAAGAGTGCTTAGTACCCCCCAAGTGACGACAGGATGGCGCTGTGGTGGACATCCTTGTTGGCTCCTTAAAGTCGGATACTGTCATTCAGCGATTCCGGACATAACGACTGATAGGTGGCACATCTAAGAAGCTGCATTTGTGTATCGACGGTATATAGTTGAAATAAGACAGCGCAGGGCGCCACCTATTACCAGAACCGACCTCTGCGAGAGTGCAAGCAGCAGCATGTTTCGTTATTCAATCGCGAATACACCACATCTACTATACCGCCAGAATCGGCAGCCTCTAGCGGTGATAGTGATGACTGGGCGATCAAACGCGAACGGAGATCTTTACAGTTGCAACCGACATCTGCCATATACTTTAGCAGTAGTGAATTCTGGTAGTAGATGGCGCATTCAGCAGGTTTATTTCGATACACCTCATAACTCGGATAAAAAATAGTATCCTATGCTTTTGTTTATAGTCCAGGAACCTAGCCCATATTGACGTGTTGCCCAAAGGAAGGAAACATCTGCACATGGTTGGCTGTCTGTGCTAGAAGAGACGAAAACAGTATGTTTACAGGATTCGACAT